AAAATACAATGTTGGAATAAAGACTTTCCACAAAATTCTTCGTGGCACGGAGGTGGTTCCAGAAGAGGACGATTTGCTTCAATATGATTCAACATTAGGTTCTGAGTTTTTTCCCTAATAGGGGTACTTTATAATCTTATTTCCCAACTAAGGGTAGTTTTAAACTTATTTTCCAAACTAAGGTAGTTTTGTCCATGTCATCCCATTTTCACTGAGGTGTCATTATGATGCCACATCAGATGTTCCACTTCATCCAGGTAATTCCACGTCATCCAATTCCAATGATTAACGCTGCTTTTAAAATTTAAAAAAATGGGTGATCATGGAACTTCGAACACGCGACCAGAGCATCCGACATCAGTTTCTCAAATGGCAGGATACCACTCGACCAAAGTATTCAGTGGAAATTGTTCTCCTTTTACTTAATCTATCATAAGTTTAAGAGTCCGCACCTATAAATCTGTCTTGCTTGTTCTTGGGAGATACGGAGTATATGTCATCCTTTGCCAAACAATTAAAAATTCAATAAAAAGCTTAGTTTGACACATTATATTAAAAAATAAAAACCTAATTAAAATAATAAAATATGATAAATGCTCTCATTTCAGCTAAAATGTTAGATCAGATTCTATGGAGTACCTTGATAAATTATTACTCCCTCCGTTCCGAATTATAAATGTTCGGAAAAGAAGTAATATATCTTCAATAGATGGCTATGTTGTAAATACCAAACCGGGAAGTGTCCCGGAAAGATGATTGAGTCACAAGTCAACCTGTACCCGGGAGTTCAACCCAGTCAACGACCTGCAACCCGACCAACACTCATATATATGTATAATTATACTCCCTCCGTCCCATTGAACTTTGCCAACTTTCACTTTTTGGTTGTCCCAAAAAATTTTGTCACTTTCTCATTAAAGCAACTAATTCATGGTTCTGCACATTTCTCTCTCCTCTGCACAAATCTCAACCACACAGTTTTTACTATTCTTATTTCTCACTTACTTTGCACTTGGCAAAGTCTACCGGGACGGAGGGAGTATAAAACAGTAATTTCCATAAATAAAAAGTTATATCAGGTGGACTATTAGAAGCAGTTTTCTAATAGTCCTTCATAATAATAATTTAATAATGATAGTACAATAATATAAGAAAAATAGAAAAACTATTATATTAAAGTATTTTTGGTTTTAACAAAGTTTGAAATACATTTGGATTTAGGTGGATCATAATTATGAACATAACATTCACAATAAAAATTTAAAAAATAATAAACAAATTATTCAAGACAAATAGGTGAAATATTGCTTAAAATATAGCACGGTGGAATTGAAAGAATATTATTCAAATATATTGAAAACAGAGAGTTCACCAAAGCATTACTTTGGCTCAGTGGTGGGCAACTGGGCATGATAAATGGAGACGTATGCAAGTCTCATTGGTTGTAGGCTCGATTCTCGCAGTGTTCTAATTTTTTTTATTCTTTCATTTCAAAGCAAACTTAATCACTTGAATTGGATGACAAAAAATGATGGGATGACATGGAATAGCCAACGTGCCAATCCTAAAGACATCTTAGAGCATCCTCAATCGTGAACTTAAAATAAATGATTTTTCTATGACACATTATTGTCACATCACATTTATTAAATAAATTTTAAATAATCTCACATCTTAAAACTCTTCATCAACCATGATACTCAAATAATTAGTTTTTCTAGACCATGCATTAAATGAAATTTAACTACAACAAAAAATAATCCGGGATTCAAATCTTGATACCGGATTATCTTTTTCAATAATCTCTCTAAATAATCTCTCTCACACAATGATAATATTTAAAATAATCTTACACACCATCCAATTAAACTCTAAATAATCTAAAGAATGGGGATGCCCTTAGTGATAATGGGCTGACATGGACAAAACTACCTTAGTTTGGGAAATATCTTTAAAAGTACCCCTAATTGGGAATTAAGTTTGATAACTACCTTCTTTGGGAAATAACTCTTAGATTCTACTTCTTACTTTGTTCGGAAAAGATCTAGAAAGAGATAGAGACAAAAACACCATTTATGCCTTTTCCTCCACTCTCTACGCACCCCAAAATAAGTTGGATTGAAACCCCATATCATGCGAAACTGGCCGGAATGCCAAAGCAACTCCCCATATCGAGGGAGACAAAACACACCAGAGCACATGGGCCTGGAAAAGAACCGCCATGGAACAGGATAAACACAACAACAAAAGAAGAGCACCATGTTGGGTCATACTCCTACCAAAAAACTTGAGGAACGATGTTACCTTCAGCCTAGCTCGAGAGAGAAACGACTACAAGGTGGCCCCCCTTTTCCCAATTACTCATTCATCCTGATCGTACTACCAACATAGGTCTAAAGTTTTTGGTATTCAAATGATGACTCCTCTTCCAAATTTAGAGTTTCACCGACTTGGACTTGTAATCGTATTTTTATACCTAATAATCCATTTTTATGCATACCTTTATATATTAATGGTCACATGTCGATGTTGAAGACCGTTAAAGTCAAATTATGAATTTCATTATGTGACAAAAGTAGGGGTGGATCAGGACCGACCCCGGTAAAACTAGTCTTCAGACCGGGTCAAGACCGGAACCAGAACGGGCGGGTTTGCGGTCTTTGGATCTGGGAGGTCTCGTGATTGTCCGGTCCCAACTGCTAATTCCTTTTTTTATTTTTTCCGATTGGTTGGAAGCCTAACATCTAACTAATGGCTAGTCGTACCTAGCCAAATAGTCCCCAACGGCTATTGTGACCGTTGAGGTGGGGGTGCGGTAAAAAACTATATGTATCTATCAATCTTCTCATTTTTCATACACTTCAACCAGTGGCGGACCCAGAGATTTGTCAGAGCAGGGGCACACTACATTAAACTTACTCTATAATAAAAATTTCTCTATAATAAAATTTTCAAATGTAATAAAGATGGTAAAAAGTAAGGCAATATCATAAATTATACGAAATAGTTAATTACATATTAAATAGTTCATTTCTGCAACTTTGGTAAATCAAGCCTATAAGTTTTCATATTTTGAAAATGTTGCATAATAGTTTCATTATCAATACTCCTAAAAACATCTCTCTCGATGTAGCACACCAAGCAATCCATAAGATAATCATCTTCCATCTTATTGCGAAGATCTGTCATGATAATATTCATCGCAGAGAAGGCTCTTTCAACGGTGGCTGTTGCAACTGGTAATACTAAAGCCAACTCCATCAGACGATATACCAAGTGAAAAGAATTGTGAACTTTAAGCTCAACCATCTTTTTGCAAACTTCACCAATAGTCTGTATGACAGAAAATAACTCATTTGTTCTCATTTCATATATCCACACCTGGAGTTGCTCTTTCAGCTCCATTCGATCAACAGATGAAAAATCGCATGAATATAATTCCGCGAGGTTCAGTAGCTTTGACTCACAGAAATTGGAGAACTTATCTCTAGGATCAAGACATGCTAAACAAGTGAGTAATTCTGTGTTTGACTCACTAAAACGGCTCTCCATCTCAAGACTTATCTGATCAATCACCTATAATGAAAAAATAGTAATAATAATAATGTCAAAGCAAAAATAAGTATTGGGTAATAATAATAATACTAACAACAATAATAATAGTAATAATAATAATAATAAGCACCTGGCAAAATATAGCAACTTTAAAGTGATGATAATTTGTTATCGGGTGACGAACACGTTTAGAACGATGATTCGTCTCTTCCATTTTAAGAATGTCAATTTTGTTGCCACAAAAGCTATTGACATCTTCCAAGAGATCATCCCATCCACTTTCTCTCAAATCATGAAATTTAGCTTTAGTGCTTTTAACTAAGCTCACAACCTCGAGAATGTTTTGATCTTTTTGTTGCAAGAAATGTGACAATATATTCGTCATCCCCAATACTTTTTTCATGAAGTGAGCAATAAAAACAAATTGATAAATCTCCATCTTTTCTACCAAGTTACTAGCAGTGCCTCCCGATTTTAGATCAGTTCCATCATCAAATATATTATCAAGAACTTGAATGGTAGGAGACCACATAGAAAAAATACGAATAATGGTTGTATGATGTGAACCCCAGCGTGTAGCTCCCGGCCTAGCTAAACTACTTTCTTGATTCAATCCTCTTCCAGTTGTAAGTTCACCCATTTCTACCATCTCTACCATGGTTTCATGTGGTTTTTGCCGAAACTCGTCCTTTCTTTTACAAGAAGATCCTACCATGTTAGTAACCATGGACAAATATTCAAAAAAGTCACTCACAAACTTATTTTTTTGTGCAACAGACACAACTAATTGCAATTGGTGAGCAAAACAATGAATATACTTTGCATGTGGATTTTCATTCAAGATTAGAGTCTTCAATCCATTAAGCTCAACCGTAATTCATTCAAAACAATTGGCCACAACAACTAATTGCAATTGTGTATTAACTGATAATTTATATAACCGTAACATTTTAGTATCTTCATTGTCTAATACTAATAATTTTTTTGTACGGGTTGGTGTACTAATTTTACCTGAAGTAGTAGTAGTGAAATTTTTGGCCGGAAGTAGGGGCACCTATTTTACCACCAGGGCCGGTCCTAGGGGGGGCAACAGGGGCGACCACCCTAGGCCCGAAAAAATAGCAAAAAAAATAGGCCCAGAATTTTTTCTTTATACATAGTGTGAGTAGGCTTCTTTTTTAGATTTTTTTAAAATAATTTTTTTAATAATCATTTTTTATTTTAAAATTAATTATGCACAAGTTTTAGTTTTGTTCATAATTTCAAAATTATAAAAGAAAACTTAAAAAAAATTATAAAAGACGTGTAAAAAGGCCGTGTCCCACCCAATCTCCAATATTCCATTAGGCCATTATCCCAAATTACATTCCCCAACTCCTAAACCAACAAACGGCCTTCCACAAAAAACCCCAAGTACCCAACAAACGGCCCAAACCACTCCCATCCCAAATTCCCAATAAGCCGAATGACTGAATACAATTCAACATTTCAACTCGTGGTTCCGATTTTGCAAATTCCAAAATCAATTAACGAAGGTTAGAGTTTGTCCGTTTCTCCTTCTTGCCTTCTTGGCCGACTGCGACCGGCCGTCTTGCCCAAGCAACTGAGAGCGCTGCAAGTCTTCAATTTTGCAAAGCTGTCTCTGAATTGTGATTTGTGAATTGTGAAGAAGGAAGCTCAAACGGCGGTCGGTGATTAGAAGTCTAGAACACCTTCTTCCAACTTTCAAGGTTTCAAACAATCTATAAGTGGTCAGTAAATTAATCTCAATCTATTACTCTATTAGCTTTAAATGATGAATCTAATGAAATTTCTTTTGATTTATGATTTATTCTCCCAATAGCAATTTGTATATAAAAGAATGTTTTTTTATATGATGCATTTTTATTGTCTTTGTTAAATTGATATCAGGGCCGGTCCTGTCGGTTTTCGGGCCTATGGGCGAGATACTATCCTGGGCCTAAATTTAAGACAAACATAGAGTATAATACAATAATTTCCGAATTATTGAACAAAAGTAAAAAATAAAGACCAAATTCACTTTATTAATATTTAAATAACATGTTTGACGAAAAGTAATAAGTATCACATAGTCACATAGAAAGAAAAATATTACTTAAAAACGTTTCTCGCCGAACACTGTGAAGCAAAATCATCAATAATTGTTTCGTAATCAACCTTTTCCAAAACCTTTATGTTTAAATTTAATGTTTGCACTTGAACTTTTTGTGATATTTGAACATTGGGATATCGAGTATGTGTAATGTAATGGTCATAATTTCATGATTTGAAATTTGATTTTTTTACGTAACGGAAGGTAAAATGTGTTCATTTTAGAAGGATAATAAATTTTTATAAGGAACCAACAAGGTAAGAACCGAACCGAATTTATTTAGAACCGAACCAAATTTAACAACTACATTTTTAACTAGAATCGAACCGAATTTAACGCCTATTATTTTTAATACGGTTCCATCGAATTTTAACCGGAACCGAACCGATCCCAGACCTACTAATACTGACTTTTAAGTTTTAAAGTTCTGGCTCTCTTTTGGACCTAAACCATTTGCGGTCCGAAGAAGCAGAGAAAAACAGGCCTACCCATCCCTAGTATCTTCAGTGTCGGCCCAGCAAGGCTCACCCAATTTTCGAAGGCCCAATGTTTTTTGATAGTTGTATTAGCAGCTGCCAGCCCAGACCCAGCTCTACACCGCTGCAAGCTTCAAGGAGTTCAAGCGACAAGCGCCAACGGACGACGACGCGTCGATCGCTACCCTCTTCCCGCCGGAGACTGGAATCGCTGCCACCGCTGCCACCGCTGAAGCGCTGAGCTGAGTGCCCTATCGTATGTTCGTATGGTTCTCTGACTTCTCTCTTAGAATATGTCATTTGGCATCTTAGGAATCTCAAACGTTACTGTCTGAGCATTGGGATATCGGTTCATGTATAAATTTCTTTCTGAAATCGCATAATGATACGTTTCAAGTGTTTCCGTTATATTTACAGCAAAAACACCCCAAAGATCAAGATAATATTGTTAAAGAATATGTTTTTAGTCACTTTAAATATAGTACATTTTGTTTTATAGCAAAATTATTTTTTTGTTTTTCTGAAATTTACGTTGGTTTTTCTTTTAGTCCAACACCAACGATAATAACTTGACCTCAAAATAACTTCAACTAATAGGACTCCACCAATTCTTTTCCATTTATTCAAAAAGTATTTAATTTTATATTTTAGATTTTTTTTAATACATATTTTTAAAATGTGAATTATTAGTTTTTTATCGTTTTAACTCTCATATTTGCCTCAAAAAATTTATAAAAGGATAATTCAAATGTTTCTAGTAGATTTAGGTGTATAGCAATAATGTTTTTCTAAATAGAGTGGTTTTGGAGTTAGTGATGGACTAAAAAAAAAGTAATGCATATTTAAGCCTATTCTTAAATATGACTGAGTACATTTTTCTTTTCTGCAGGGGATTTGACGCCATCTGCAATAAAAACTATTCTCCCCTAAATGGGATGCCAAAAGGCTTTTACTGTCTACAGCTACTACTCTGCAGCAACAACAATATTAACTAGAAGGCAAATGTCATCAAGCAGCGCTTGCCGTAATCTGTTCATCGGAGGTTTCTCTATTGTTATTTATGGGGCTGGGAGGTCTTTTGGGTTGGATTTGAGTTCTTGTACAAAGTTGTTTGTGTCGCTGGATGATGTAATTTTCCAAAAAGATTCAAATGCAAACAAGTTCTAGCTAATAAATTTAGTTAAAGCGAACAAAAATACAAATAGGAAGTCATGACTTTTAATGGTGTAATTTGAGCAGTCTTCATGAATAATCATTTGCATCATATGTACACAGAAATTGGCTCTGAAAGCCTGAAGTTATAATCTTTCTGCACTTCAAAGTATACCTTTCTTAATTTATCTTTCTAATAATTTGAAAGCTATCTATGCCTGCTCTTAATATATTTCAAACCCATGTTTCAGGCCTTTCATACGATACAAATGAAACTATTTTGAATGAAGCTTTTAAGAAGCATGGTGAATTGATTGAAGGTAGCAGCACTGTACACTAAATTAGTGATCTTTCTTAGTTTCTGCATTTAGCTTCATCTGATAAAGACAACATATTCTTTGTGTTTTAGTGAAGGTAATATGTGACCATAGAAGTGGCAAGTCGAAGGGCTATGGGTTTGTGAAATTTGAGTCAGAAACTGCAGCAAATGAGGCATTGAAGGAAATGAATGGCCAGGTACTTCAACGCCAGTTTTGACACCAAAACCATTTTTCTGTTAGCGCACACATACACAAATACATTGTTGCCCTATCTGGGGGTCAGAGTATCATAAAAAAATGTTGATGTAAAAGTTAGTGCACTTTTATGAAAAATGATCTCCATTTCTCCCTATTTTATTGCGCAACTTAATTTGACCCAGAGTTAAGAAGGTAAAAATTTTGCCATTGAGATTTGCTAAGAAGGAAAAGAACTATTCGAAACTGCATATTGCTATCCTTGAAGAAATAATAATATATATTACTTAAACATACGAGTTGCTAAACGTGTGTATATACTTAAGAGACATGGATTACTTTAAGGTAGATTCTATGGTACCCATAAGGTACCATGGTACCCATAAGGCCATAAGGTACCATACATTCGTCTACATGGACCAATCAGAATATTGCAGTAGAATTATTTAAATCTAAATTAAAAATGATATAATGATTTGGACCAATTAAGTAAATGGTAGGTACGGTACCCCATTTTTTATATGGGTACCAGAGTTGTCACTTTACTTTAATACCTGTTGTTGCTAAAGAGGTGTCTTTGTAGCATTATACGGAGTACTAGTTTTAAAGTGCTTTGTTGCATATCAGCAGTTTCTTTTTGTTTGATTGACTGGTTGTATTGTGTCTTCCATGCAGTTTTTGGATGGTAGAAACATACGAGTCCACTGTGCCCATAAAGGATGACTTCAAGATGCCACCCTAAAGGCTAAAGGAATTATCATATGTATTTTTTGGGGCATACATTAATTTTGTAAATTCTTTTTGTTTCTTCATGTGAAATCAATTTAAAATTGAAAGCATGAGGAATAGTCCCAAATGCCCCCAAATACTACTTTTCAATCTGGAACCTAATACCGTCAGAGAAGTAGCGACTTGTGTTGGGGGTGCCTTGGCAATAACAAGAGTGGCTTTTTTACCAAAAAAAAATAACAAGAGTGGCTTCATCGACGACATATGCAGCCAAGGCTAAAGGATTGTGGGCAGAGGGTTTGCAGAGATCAGAGTTCGAAGGAGATTTTGTGCGAAAGATTGCGTAAGTTTGGAAGTGAATTCATTGCCGGAAGTCGTGGTAAAGACACACTGTCGCAGTGCATAATTTGAAAGTAAAGATGACACAGGCAGGGATATTGGATGGCGTAATGATTGTGGTGGAGTTGAATTAACGATATTCGTTTGGGATAAGAATGGTAGAGGAACCAATGACTTTAGGTTACAGCACAACATCATATGAGCATATTGTTAGACTTACTTTCATGGAAAAATTGATAGTAATAATCCCAACTATTGGCGGTCCGCTCATAATAATCTCAACTATTGATTATTACAGAATAATCTCAACTTTAGGGACCTTCCGCCAATAATGGTCCCTATGAATAAATTCTTGTAGTTTCTAAAGTGGATGAGATGAGATATAACAAGTAATCCCTATAAATAATCTCAACTTTTAAATTTTACGCTTAATTTCTATTTAAAATTTACTTTTTATAGAGGTAATATATGGTCATGGACCATTATTGGCGGATAGTCTATATAGTTGGGATTATACAAAAATAATCAATAGTTGGGATTATTTTCAGCGGACCAGCAATAGTTGGGATTATTATTTTCAAATTTTCCTACTTTCATTTGCTCTTGTAATATTTTAGATGTGTTTTCTTCCTCCCTATTCAATCTAAACTATGAATCAATACAGGAATTTCTCTTATTCATCAATTTACAACTTAAATTTTCTCGTTTATAAAAATATAGTTTTTATTTGATTGCTCTTCAACTTTCACTTGAGTATTGACTTATGTTTATTTCTTTCAAGTGATTTTCATTTTAAATTCAACTAAATTTACTGTGTTCTACGGAGTATTATTTACATAAAGATATACTTCCTCCGGTCCTAAATAAACTATTGTTAAGATCCAGGGTTCATCCTAAAAGGTCAACCTGTTAGAAGGAATAGCTCGAAACTTAATATAGCACTTTAATGCTTCTCAATTTTCCGGTGTGAGACATTTAACACCCCTCTTCACGACCAGACACTTTGTCTGGATCGTGTCGTCATTCATTTTTCATCCGTTCGGCAATTTTTTTTTATCGCGTCGTTATTTTTCATAAGGGACCCCACACCATGGAATGATTTGGCTCTGATACCATGTTAAGATCCAGGGTCCATCCTAAAAGATCAACCTGTTAGGAAGAGTAGTCCGAAACTTAATATAGCACTATAATGCTTCTCAATTTTCCGGTATGGACATTTAACAACTATGCTTCTGTCTCCCAATACCCATCTCCCTCAATTCTCAAATCAAGCACCCGCATCCTCTCTCAAATGGAGTGTCGAATTGAGAATTTTTTGCAGTTTGAAGACAAAGGAGAAACTAAAGGTAAAGGGTTTTTCCGGCATGTCCTACTTCCTCTTCGCCAAATGAAGTCTACAAATCCCATTAATAAACGAGGTTGAGCAAAACGGTGATGAGTGAAGAACCTCATTTCAGTCTACGTTGTACGGTGAAAGCGAAGGAAAAAAGAGAACTCCATTCACGCAGTATATTTTCAGGAATAGCTGTGGGGCTTGTGCCGGATAACCTGAGTTTAGGACTTTAGGTCCGCAGCTAATCATACATCACGAATTCACGATACTTTATTTTCAAACTTTAGTTTTGCTTTTTACGGAGTAGCTTAGGAGGAAAAGGGCAAAATGGTGAAACTGATATCAACTTTTATCTTTTCTTAATCCCGTGCCGGTCAACTTTTGCAATTCAATTCGGGACGGAGGGAGTAAGATATAGTGTGTTCTTTATGTCAAATTAAAAGGATTTAATGCACCAAACCCCCTTGTAAATAATAATTCGGTCGCATTATCTTATTGTGATTTAAAAAATGCGTCAAACCTCCATGTGTTATAATTAATCATGCGCCAAACCCCCTCCAAGAACAAATTTTAAAATTTTAAAATCACTTTTTTTTTAATAGTATGGTTGAATATGCAAGTAATTTTGTCAAAATTTCTAAATTATACAAAAAAACTAACCGTTTTTCATTGGGCTTTTGCCTTCAATATTACTAATTTTGAACCAATTACAAAAAATGTGACCACTTTTAAAAAGGGGCAAAAAGGTGATCAAGAAGGTCATTTTAATATCATTCCCAGATTTTAATGTCACTATCTTGTTTTAATGTCAATAACGAATGTCACTGCTGTCACCGCCCATGTCACTGCCGTCACCGCCCGTGTCATTGTAGCCACCACCTGTGTCACTGCGACCACCGCCCGTGTCACTGCGGCCACCGCCCGTGTCACTGCGGCCGCCGCCTGTGTCACTGTAGCCGCCGCCCGTGTCACTGTAGCCACCGCTCGTGTCACTGTAGCCGCCGCCCGTGTCACTGTAGCCACCGCCTGTATCACTGTAGCCGCCGCCGGCCACCACCACGCTACCAGTGCCAAATTAAAACAAATAACACGGACCCTGAACATAACTTATTTATGGACCTGTTTCTCGCCAAGGATGAGAAATTGAAAGCCAATTAATCACAAATAGTTTCTGCATGCATCAGTTAGGATGTTTTCTTTTGGACTGAAATTTGCTGGTCTGGTGTGGTCTGGTGTGGTCCGGTCTGTTTAAGTCTGGTCTGATCTGAATTGGTCTGGTCTGATCTGGTAAACGTCTGGTCTCTGTGTATTTTATAACTACGGAAGTCTGGTCTGGTCTGGTCTGGTCTGGTCTGGTCTGTTTAAGTCTGGTCTGGTCTGGTCTGGTCTGTTTAAGTCTGGTCTGGTTTGATCTAGTCTGTTTAAGTCTGGTCTGGTCTGGTCTGGGACTGAAAACAGTCCAAAAGAAAACATCCTTAATGTGACGAAAGAATCCCCTGTCATGGATAAGTTTATTTTGCTGTTTTCGGGGTTACAAATTAGACAATTTACGAATGTCGTCTACAAAGATTTGTTTCAAGAGTGGAGCTAGGTGTACACAAAAGTTGTAGTTGTTTCAACGGAAAGTCATTATCCATTTTATTCATTCAAGCAAATGATCGCCTTTGGTTATATACCCCAATCTCAGTCCCTGGCAAGTCGCAAGTCACACCTGTAATTTGTACAATTATTCTTCGAAACTTGAGGTCTCAACCCAGTCAAGCAAAACTCGCTATTTGGGACTATAAATTATAGGATTCCTCTGATAATGTGATATTGGAGCAAAAAAAGTGGCAATTTATTTGTGGGTATAAATTCCTAAAAGCTAGACCGTCCATTTATTGTGGTTTTCATTATTTTGAGTATTGAGAATATTCTATCCTGATAAAGTTTACAAATAGTGTTATCATTCTTTAAACCAAAATATGACATACTTATCCTTATTTTGAGAACTCTTATAGTCAACTAATTCAGTCTTATTCAACTTTGTCAAGTTGATGTTGGATGTGAAATTAGAATATTAAAAATTATGTTGTTGACATTTGTACAGAATCGTGGGAAATGAACACAATCACAAATTCGTTGTTTTAAAGGACAATGACAAGATTTTCGGGAAAAATAACAACAAAAAAGTTAGTGAAAGAATATAATTGCCTGCCTATTTCATTAAGCGCAATGGCTTATATACAAGAGTACAACCGTTACAAGAGTATAGTTAGGCTATCACTACAATACTAATTAGCTACAATTAAGGGGTAAACATTAGGCTAATGATGAGGCTAAATATATGCTTAACAAATATGACAAATATACATTGAATAGAATATATTCTCTATCACACCCCCTCAGTCGCAGCGGGAGGATTACGAATGCCAAGACTGTCACGGAAATCCTCAAATAATATACGTGGTAATCCCTTTGTAAAAATATCTGCAATTTGATAGCGGGAGGGAACATGAAGAACACGTACTTCACCCTTGGCAACTTTTTCACGAACAAAATGAATGTCCATCTCAATGTGTTTGGTGCGTTGATGTTGCACCGGGTTGCCAGATAGATAAATGGCACTCACATTGTCACAATAAACCAAGGTAGCTTTCTGGATGGGACAATGTAACTCTAGTAACAAGTTTCTAATCCAACATGAGTCAGAAACTACGTTCGCAACCCCGCGGTACTCAGCTTCTGCACTAGAACGGGACAAGGTTGGTTGTCGTTTGGACGACCAAGAGACCAAATTGTCACCAAAAAATACACAATAACCAGAAGTAGATCGCCTGGTATCCGGGCATCCTCCCCAATCAGCATCAGTATAAGAAATTAATTTTGTGAGGGAAGATTTATAGAGGTGTAGTCCAAGCGATAGAGTACCTTGCAGATAGCGTAAAATGCGCTTAAGAGCATTCATATGCTCATCCCGAGGATCATGCATATGGAGACAAACCTGTTGAACGGCATAAGAAATATCTGGCCTAGTAAAAGTAAGATACTGTAGAGCACCGGCCAGACTTCGATACTTAGTTGGGTCCTCATAAGGAGTGTCTTGAGAGGCACTGAGCTTTGGTTTAGTGTCAACAGGTGTGTGACAAGAGCTGCAATTAGACATGCCTGCCCGTTCAAGAATTTGGGTGGCATATTGCGTTTGAGATAAGAACATACCGTGAGGAGTACTGGTGACACCAATGCCCAAAAAATAGCTCAAAGGACCAAGATCTTTCATAGCAAACTCGCTGCCCAAGAGAGTCAAAAAATGCTTCCGGAGTTGATTAGAAGAAGCTGTAAGAATAATATCATCAACGTATAAAAGAATATAAGCCATGTCTGAACCCTGTTGATAAATGAATAAGGAATGATCAGATTTAGCATGAGAAAAACCAATAGTGAATACAAAATCAGCAAACCGCTGATACCACGCCCTCGGAGCCTGTTTTAGGCCGTAAAGGGATTTCTTCAGTAGACACACATGGTCAGGATGCCCCTTGTCACGGAAACCCAGGGGCTGATGCATATAGACCGTTTCATTGAGATGCCCATGTAGGAAAGCATTCTTGACATCCAATTGATGGATGGACCAAGATTTGGAGAGAGCAATGCTAAGGACAATACGAATAGTGGCCGGTTTAACAACCGGGCTGAATGTCTCATCACAATCAATACCCTGCTGCTGAGTATTCCCATTACCTACAAGACGAGCTTTATAGCGCTCAAAAGAACCATCAGAATTCCGTTTATGCCGAAAAATCCACATAGATCTAATAACATTCACATCTTTAGGCCGAGGTACCAATTCCCACGTTTTATTATCAATTAAAGCATTAAATTCATCTAACATTGCAAGTTTCCAATTGGGGTCACGAATAGCACTTACAGGGTCCTTGGGTATAGGAGATATGTGGGAGATGGATGTGGTGTGTAGACTGTGGGAGTATCTGGGATTTGGTTTGTAGATGCCATGTTTGGCTCTAGTGGTCATCGGATGGGAAATGGTAATAGGTTCGGCAGTTTGAGAATGTTCTGGGCTGGGAATGAGGGAAGGTGTAGGCTGTGAAGAGACTAAACTAGGCTGGACAGAGCTGCTGGATGGGGCAGAATCTGGGGGTGGAATAGGCTGAACAATGCTACTGGACGGGGAAGAAGATGGGGCAGAGGATGGCCCATTATAGGTAGGCTCCTCTCGGCCAACTGAAGAAGAAGTACTGTAATGGAAATGGTGGGAAATTGGGTGCACATCCAGAGGGTCATAGTCATGTGGTTGTGGTTTATGAAGTTTAGAAAATGGGAATTCGGTTTCAATAAATTTCACATGACGACAGATAATGATTTGCCCAGTTGACATGTTGTAGCATTTAAACCCACGGTGATTCTTAGCAGGACCAAGATACACACAAGGAGTGGAACGTGCTTGTAATTTGTGTATGGAAGTGGATGGGAAGAGGGGAAAACACAAGCAACCAAAAACATGTAAATCCGAATAAATGGGATCACATTGATAAAGAATTTGAGTAGGTGACTGAAAACCTAGGACTTTGGTGGGTAGAATGTTTAGAAGATACGTAGCCATTTCTAAAGCATGATGCCAAAAGGAGAGGGGCAGGGAGGCATGGGCAAGTAAAGTCCTAATGATGTTATTGATTGATTTAATGTGGCGTTCGGCTTTGCCGTTTTGAGGAGAAGAATGAGGACAAGAAAGACGGAATAACATGCCATGGTTATCAAAGAATTCTTTAAAAGTGCTATTAATATATTCTGTGCCATTGTCACATTGAAACGTCTTAATATTACGTTCAAATTGAGTAGAGATAAGAGAATAAAAGGATTTAAAGAAATGTGGAACTTGGGATTTTTTTGAGATAGGGAAAGTCCATAGGAATTTGCTGTAATCATCCAGAAACAACACATAATATCTATGGCCAGACGAACTAATAACAGGAGATGTCCATAAATCGCTATGAATGATATCAAAAGGAAGAATAGTGTATGACATGGAATTATAAAAAGGCATTTTAGAGTGTTTGCCAAGAGGACAAGAGGAACAATAAGTCATATGACTTTTATTACAATCAATGAACTTTAAATGTCTAAGAGATCTAAGAACAGCAGCGCCAGGATGTCCTAAGCGGTTGTGCCAAAGATCGGGAGATATAGCAGTGAGTGCAGAATGAGGGACAAATGACTTGACTGGACTGTTGGTGAACAGAGGGTATAAGTCACCGCTACTATCACATCTCAGGAGTATGGTTCCCGTCTGTAAATCATGAACAGAAAATCCGTGAGGATCAAATGTAATAGAAACCATATTATCGGTTGTGAATTTCCGGACAGAAATCAGATTTTTAATCAACTTGGGAGCATGTAGCACATTATTCAAGGTAAATGGGGGGAATGGAGAGGGTAAAGTAGTACTACCGTAACCAACAACTGGAATTAAATCACCACTTCCAACAACAATGTTATGATGTTTAATACCCGAATTGAAATAAGAGGAAAGAGCACCTTGATCTGCAGTCATATGTGAAGTTGCACCGGTGTCCATATAGTAATTCCCGTCTGGTTGAGTGAAGGAAAGAGCATGCATTGCTGCTTCAATGTCAGTAGGAGTATAACTGACAGATGAACCCATAACATTGTAGGCTTGGGGAGGACGAGGGCCGAGAATACCCGGTGCAGCAGATCGTGGAGCCGGATGCGGAGCAGCAGCCCGTGGAGCCCAAGAAGCGGCTGGATAGGGGCATGGTGGTGGGACGGGCCAGTGAGAGAGCCAGGGAGCCCAAGAAGCCCAAGGTTGCTGCTGCCAGGTCTGCCCAGTGGGGAAAGAGATGGGTTGTTGGTTCATAGCGCCAAATGGTTTCCCGAACTCAGGTTTAGCACCTGTTTTCTTCGGCTTATTATTTCGAGAATTAACACGAGAGGACCCAGAGTTGGTGGTGTGGTGTGGTGGACCGCCAGTGGAGGTCACAAGAGCTGCCTGTGCACGATTACTGGATCCGTTCTCCTTTGCCAGCCGATTTTTAATAGTGCGCTCAGCAAGCTTCAGTCGAGAGCGACAACTCTCAAACGGTGGAATTGGGTCCTGGTTTTGGATGAAATCAACGGTGCCAGAGTATGCTTCAGGGAGACCACCCGTTAGTTTAAGAACAAGGCGACTGTTCGGGATAGGAGCGTCAACATCTTCAAGACGACCGGCCAGAGTTTTGATATGGTTGCAGTAGCTATCAATTGACGAGAAATTCTCGAAATTAAGATCAGCCAATTCTTCTTCAAGGTGTGTTGCTCGGGAAACTTTATTGTCTTGGAACAAGGATTCAAGACGAGCCCAAGATGCCTGAGCGGTGTCGTCTTTCTGAAGGATAGCAAGAAGAAGGTTGTTGGATATAGTCCCGTATATCCATTGCAAAACCGCAGCATCAAGACGCTTCCAGAGAGAGAGATCGGCAGCCTTTGATTGTTCATAGGTGGCGATTTCGTCTGGTTTGACGGGAGGGATGATGTGCTCATAGACATCATGAACCCTAACAAGAACTTTGAATAAAGCAGCCCAGGAGTGATACATGCCGTTCTCTGTATCCAACTCGATAGGGATGAGGGACTTTGGAATTTGGGATTAGACATGGTGCAGCGGAAGAGGTAAGGTCGAAGAGATTGAGGGCTGGTGTTAGGGAAAGAGAATAGGCCAAGATCGAAATTAGGCTGATACCATGAAAGAATATAATTGCCTGCCTATTTCATTAAGCGCAATGGCTTATATACAAGAGTACAACCGTTACAAGAGTATAGTTAGGCTATCACTACAATACTAATTAGCTACAATTAAGGGGTAAACATTAGGCTAATGATGAGGCTAAATATATGCTTAACAAATATGACAAATATACATTGAATAGAATATATTCTCTATCAGTTAGCAAAGTCTAATGGGAGAGAGATTACATAATTCCGTTTTGAATGGTTGAAATTTTTGTGAGAGCTGTGTAATTGGAATCTCTAGTTTAAAAAAAGGTGACACTTCATCCATGTAGAATCGACTGGACATTTATCCGGAGGATGTAAGTTGAGCTTTGTTAACACTCTATTGAAAAAGGTTGATATTTCATTTCCAATGCTTGAAATTGAAATGGAGGCTTGTCCCTTACATCAATACATGTATCACCCTCTTCAGTTCCTACTAGGTGGATGAAGGAGTGAGTGTGGTGCAATAAATGATGAGGAATGGTATCTAACTAATGCAGTTGATGATGGGCTTGTGGAGATGATCGATGTAGGGGTGGGTTCGGTTCTTGCGGTTCGGTTTTGACCTAAAACCAAATGTAGAATCAAAGTAAAAAGTTCGGTTCGGTTTCGGTTCGGTTTTACACTCCAAAACTTGGAACCACGGTTTGATTGGTTCGGTTTGTTTCGGTTCGGTTTCGGTTTTTTCGGTTTTTTTACCAAAAAATTTTCACTTGATTTAAAATTGATATAATATATACTTAGAGGGATCAAACATATTACATAAAGAATTCAAGCACAATACAACGACAAATAAAATAAAAATGAGAAGAGATAAATATGTCTTGAATTATATGAGTATGCGAGCTAGATAAAACTGTATATATTATTGATTTAATTTGTTTGTGAGTAGTTGATACTCTTCCTAAGAAAGTTATCAGAATTCTTAATAACAAGATGGCTTCTTTCTTCTGGGGTTCTAATAGTGAAAAGAATAAATATCACTGGATGAAATGGGAGAAACTGTGTTTTCCTACTTCAGAGGGAGGACTGGGTATTAGGTCTTTGACGGATATTGAAAAGACTTTTACTCTTAAGCTTTGGTGGAAGTGGAAAACTGGGAATACTCTATGGACTCAATTTATTAGATCTATAAAATGATAGGGGTGAGAATATGTTACCTAAGATTACAGATTCTGTAATCTGGAGAAGAATTTGTAGTGTACATGATCAAGCTTCCAGCCTGGTTTCTTCTGATGCTTTTGGTTATGTCATTTGGAATGCAGAGGACAATGGTCAGTTCTCCTTTAGATCTGCATTTGAAGAAGTGAGAGACTTATCTTATAATGCTGCTATATATGAGAACATTTGGGATACGGCCCATGAATTAAAAATTAAGCTTTTTCAATGGAAAGTGGTGAAAGGAATTATACCGACTACTGATAATTTAAGCAGATTTAGGAAGGTGTTAAATCCTTCTATTTGTCCACTGTGTAGGAATCAAAATGACTCTCACGATCATCTTTTCTTTCAATGTGAAGTTTCTAAAAAAGTTTGGCAATATTTTCTTGGGATTTTGGGCATTTATATTCCATATGGTCAGACCTATAGTTATCTCAGGAACTGGAGGCCAAGAAAGAAGGGGAAAAGTCTGGTTGGTATTTTTCAGCAGCATATAATTGGAATTATACTCTGGCATATTTGGAAAACCTACACCAACCTAATTTGGGGCACGGGTGGTCCTCCACCATCTTCGAACCAAATTATTCTCAAGATTAAGCTATATACTCAAGATTGGGTTTATAGTTTAACTCGGCTAAAGGTGCGGTCCATTGGTGAAATTTTATATTCTGAGAACCTAATTCCTCAAAGCTACAAGCTGGAAATTAATAGAATCCAGATCATTCGATGGAGAAGGCCTTACCGAGGTTGGAAGTTGAATGTTGATGCGAGCTTCTCCCGTGCTGGAGCTAGTGGAGGCGCGGTGCTTCGAGACTCCAAGGGGGAGATGGTGATGGCGATCTTCTTTCCTCTTCAGGCATCCTCAATTGTGGAAGCTGAGCTGAAGGCGATTGTCTTCTCCATCCGATGGGCGGTAGGTGAAGGTTTTCACGACCTCTTGGTGGAATTTGATTCGAAAATGGCGTTGGAGTATTTGTCTGGACGAGAAACGAGAATGTGGAAAGATATGGAGCCCGTTTGGAGAACTCTGTTTTCGGCTTATCAGGCTTATCAGCCAGCTTTTTCACCAAAAACGTAACTTTTACTTTCGCGCGCTGAATTGTGTAATAAGCCGAAAAAGTAAGGTTGGAGTTACTTTTCTGGCTGTATTGGCTGAAGTTACTGTAGAGGACCATTTTAGCTATTTTTACATATAATTTTTTCTTTAATTTATTAATAAAATATATTTTTAAAATATTTTTTTCTTAAATCAGCAGAATCAGCCAAAACAGCCACTCCAGCCAGAATATCATAAATTTCAGCAGAATCAGCCAAAACAGCCGATTTTGGTGCTATCAAACGGGCTCATGATTCAGGAAGTTCTACAGATTATTTTTAGAAATCAGGCTAATTTGGGTCACACGATGCGGGAAGGCAACTGGGTTGCTCATTTTATTGCAGAGGCCCAACTTAATCAGACTCGGATCTTTAGAAGCCCAAATCAGCTTCCAACGGCTGCCAAAAGGGCCTACTGGATGGACTTCTTTGGTTTGCCTTCATTTAGATTTTAGCTCTTTTTATTTATCTTTATCTGTACTGTTATTTTGGGTCAGGTCTAGCCCCCCCAAAATATTTGTTTTCTTTCTTCTGATGTTTTTTCTGGTTGTTGTTTCTTTCTTTGTATTTTTCAGGGGTATGCCCCTGAAGGGAGGTTTTGGTCTGGTCCCCCTCCCTTTTTTTTCCTCTTTGAATATTAATAAAATACCGGCAAATGTTCCCCGGCATTTGCCCCACTGATTTTGGTGGTTTGCCTTCCGGGTTAAAAAAAAAAATTGTTTGTGAGTAGTTTGAAATTTTTTCATGAATATCTGTGTTCTATGTGATATAGTTGAGATTAATATTTATTGTTTTATCAATATAAAATCTTAAAGTTATCTAAAAATAAAAGTTAATTACTACTAATAACTAGTAAACACATATGATCATCATTCAATATAGCTATTATTACAGACAATGAATGTGTAAATGAATTTATATATAAACTAAATTAAATTAAACATAACACAAACATTATTTCTCTAACACACGAAAACCAAAGAAAACCAAAGACTATTGATGATATTAAGATTAATTAGAATTAATGCTTAACAATTAACATATAAATTTCATATTTTCAATAGTTCGGTTTGTTCGGTTCGGTTCGGTTTTGAAGGGTAAAAACCAAAACCGAACCGAACAACTTCGGTTCGGTTCGGTTTTTTACATTCGGTTTCGGTTTCTTAGCGGTTCGGTTTTATTTGGTTGCGGTTCGGTTTAATTTGATTCGGTTTTCGGTTTTCGGTTTTTCGGACCCAGCCCTAGATCGATGAGCGCAGGCAAGTGGCATGGCACCAAAGTCTTTTTAAGTCAACATGGTCGAAATGAGTTGGTTATACAAATTTTGGCAAATTTTGGTCTTGTAATTTGTTTATCTAATGATCAAAGTTTACTCTTCCCATCCCAATTGAATTATTAAAAAATCATTTAAGAGAATGATTTAATCATTTGAATAATTTTCGCTGTTTCAACGCAGCCCTCCCATTTTTAAAAAAATTCGTGCATTCCCATCCATTGCTCTTGAAAAATACTAGTACTTCTGAATTATTCCAGCGGACCTATAAAGTTGTACTTGATGCAACTTATCGAACATCAATAACATCACTAAATTTGCACTTAATATGGACAACTTATAACTAAATTTGCACTTAATATGGACAACTTATAACTAAATTTGCACTCATTCAGTAATTCACCTATCTTATCAAACATGATGAGCTTATTAATGTGATTATGTGTGATGATAACGAGATATGGCCCATGCATCCGGACAACAGTCCATTCGACTTTGACTTAGTCAAATAAAATAGGAGGCCGTTGGGCAACACTGTTTTTCGGCTTATCAGGTTTATCAGGCCACTTTTTCGCCAAACACGTAATTTTTGCTTTCGCTCGCTGAATTATGTAATAAGGTTGGAGTTTCTTTTCTGACTGTATTGGCTGAAGTTACTGTAGATGATCATTTTAGCTATTTTTACATATATTTTTTTCTTTATTTTATTAATAAAATATATTTTAAAAATAATTTTTTCTTAAATCAGCAGAATCAGCCAATGCAGCCACTTCACCCAGAAATTCATAAATTTCAACAGAATCAGCCAAAATAGCCGATTTTCTTCCTACCAAACGGGCTCTAGGTTTGAGTCATTTATTAAATTATGATGTCATTAATTTATGATGTTAAGTGTTATAAAATCCCCTCCCGGTTAAATGTAACCCGTTTTCCGGCAGCCGCCGTTGCTGGGGTTCGAGCACATCGTCGCCGTCGTCGCCATTTAACCGGGAAACCGGTTATTTACCGACCAAAAGGACTTAATTGAACGTTTTTTAATAGTTCGAGGACTTAATTGAGTGTTTGTAAAGTACGAGAGCCTAATCGACTTTTTCAGCATAGTTTTTCCTTTATTAAATTTTCGTATCAAGATAACAATAAATTACTCCCTCCGTCCCAAAATTATTGTCCAGTTTGGTTTTCACACAGATTAAGAAAATGACAATGTAGCAACACTGTTTGGCACTGTAGCGACACTGTTTGGCACTATAGCAATACTATTTCACACTGTTTTACACTGTTTGGTATAGATTTGTTTACCAAATAAGAAAGATAAAGAAACGAGACAATTATTTCGGGGTGGACCGAAAAAGAAAGCGGGACAATAATTTTGGGACGGAGGAGAATGATGTTAACCAACGGCGGGAGGGGATTTTATTTTCCATTTCATTTCAACATGTAAATTTGACCAAGAATTACCCAACGGTCCTGTAAATTACCATGAAGTGAGAGTTTTGTTTTAGAGCCCGTTTGGTAGTACGAAAATCGACTGTTTTGGTCGATTCTGCTGAAATTTTTGAAGTTCTGGCTGAAGTGGTTGCATTGGCTGATTATGTTGATTTAAGAAACAATTACTTTTAAAATATTTTTTATTAATAAAATAAATAAAAAATTATATGTGAAAATAGCTAAAATGGTCATCTACGGTAACTTCAGTCAAAATAGCCAGAAAAGCAACCCCAACCTTACTTTTTCTGCTTATTACACAACTCAGCGCGTGAAAGTAAAAGTTACATGTTTGGCGAAAAAGTTGACTGATAAGTCTGATAAGCCGAAAAACAGTACGGCTGCCTAACGGCCTCTTATTCTTTGTAAATCCTTTTCAATATTCTGATTTGGCACTATTACAAAAAGAGATGTTTTAATGCGGGCAATTCTATTATTCCAACTTATTATGAATCAAATATAGACTATTTGTTAGTAAGATCAAAAATTATTTTATGAATAAAATATAGAGTATTTGTTAGTAAGGTTGTTTTAATTGGACTCAAACATATGCTCCCTCCGTCCTGGAAATAAGTTCCCACTTTCCTTATTTGAATGTTCCAAAATAAACTTCTCATTTCCTTATTTGACAAATTATATCTACATCAAAAAAGTGCAAAAACAGTGTCAAACAGTGCCAAACAGTGTCGAAACAGTGTCAAAACAGTAAAATTTACCTCTCGGTAACTTTATTTTCTTAAAATGTGTGAGAGTCAACCCGGGAACTTGTTTCCGTGACGGAGGGAGTACTTAGGAGTGATGTAGTCTGATTTGATTTCTGTAAATTTAGTCCAATCTTATCTGAACTGATGTGGTAGATAGATTCAAGTATAGTGTATAACCTAGCTATTCTAATCTCTATTCTGGGATTGAAACCGGTTGAACTAGAAACATACTAGTAATAAATTAAGTTTGAACCACGATATCAGTCACACTATGACAACCAGATATCTGTTTAAATTCTATTTTATCTTATTCCAAATTCAATGAAATATAAATCGAGAATTTTCCCAATTATATATTCATTGTCAAATGTCAACTTTTACGGTTCATGACTTCATGGTATGAACAAATGCTCTACAAAGTTGCTACTTCATACGGAGTATATTTGATCAAACTGATCCCGAACCAGCTTGATAAAAAATCACGTCGAATAATATATGAAGTTTTTTAAATTTGTTTTTAGATTTGAAGTGGATGATATTTCACATCTTACCTGTCTTCAAATAATAAATGGATTTGATCTCATCTGATGCATGGAGACTAAATCTATGACAAATTGAAGAACACAATATACAAACAAACTATGTCATATCAATAGAATCACACATTTTTGTATTGGGGTATTGTAAATGAACTCAACTATCCAAACTAGTGAGAGTGACATAATTACAAGTTTATGATTAAAGTAAAAGTTATCATACAAAATATGATCCCACATACTTAATGGTTGTGATAAAAAATTAAATCATAGTAATTTGTACGTACTATTTAACTTTTATATACTCAAGTAACTACGACACTAGCTATAACTTTAGTCATGTTTTTATATATACGTTTTATATATTTAAAAAACACATAATTACAACGACGAACGTATACTTTGGGTTCATTTGATAATACTTTAGTAAATTAGCTGAATGTATTATAATTGTGACTGAAATACTGAATGCTCTTACTTTAATTTTATGAATACATATTACATAGGTATTTGTTTATGTCATAGGTTTCTATTTTGAGTGAAACATTCTTATTAATTTTTTTAATAGAATAAAGAAAAAATAACATAAAAAAAAGTAAACGTAAATTTCATAAGCAAATTCAAACAGGAACTTTACTGTTTCGGTTAAAAGAGACTTCAAGAGTGATAGGAGGAAAAACAGAACAAATTAAGAGAACAAATTTATACTCTCTGGTCTCGCTCAAATTGACTCAAACCACTGATTTATATAAATATTACATTCAAAATATATGGATTATTTTACTCCGTATTAATAAAAGAAATAAAATATTACTTCATCACGCTAAGATTGTCTCATGTTTCCTAGATTGTTTCTTATCAAATTTGATAAAGTTTATGTCGTTCCAAATCCTTTTTACTTTATTCTCATTTTCGTCAATTCAATATCAATCACACAAATTCATTTTTTTAATAACTATGTTATTTCCTCATGTCCTAAATCTCAATGTTAGTGAGACGGAAATAATATACCAAATATAAAAAGTACTCCTTAACTAACATGATCATTTAAATTGGGGCAAATTTTCGAGGTGACTTTCAATTAATTAAAATTAATTTTTCAACCCCAATAGAAAATAAAGAAGAAAATAGATTATCTGGGTCAAAGGTCGGCGGGTGTCGTTGTCTCGCTATGCCTAAAAATACAAAGAAAGTCATCAATACAGAAATGCATTTACATGCAATAGAATAGCTATCTATATATACAGACACACCTCCTCCTACTCCCAATCATATCCTCGATCTTCATTATACTTTCCGGGGGCTGACTTTCTCAAAGTTCTCATTTTTTTCAAAGCTTGAGATTTTCCTGGCGATCCAGTTCTTCCCTTCCCTTGAAACGTCCACAAATTTTCATTGTAAGTTCTTCATTTGATTGAAAATTGAAATGGGTTATTACGGATTTCTCTCTTCATTTCTTCAATTTCTGAAGCTTATAGTCAATGGGTTATGCCATTTTGCGTTTCTTGATTTTCTGAAAATTTATATGCAATTAAAAGGCGTTATCTTTGACTTTCTTTAATTTAATTTCCTACATATGGAATGGAATAACACAAATCACGTGTTATGGAATGAATGAAAGCATGGAATTGATATGCCCTGTTTGTTGAATTGGTCAAATAAGGTCAAAGAATTGGTGAGGGGTTTGATGGCTGTGAAAAAGAAAGGGTGTCTTGAAGGGAATCTACCAGAGGGACTGCAGAAGTTGTTGGTTTCTTTAGCTGCAAAATGGGGAGATGGGCTAGAAGATGATGAACATCTAGGTACCACCATAAAGGTCAAACATTTGACTGGTGCAATGACTAATCAGGTTTATCAGATTAGTTGGCCTGCAAAGATGAGGGATAGTTTGACCAGGAAAGTTCTTGTTCGGGTTTATGGTGAAGGGGTTGACCTTTTCTTTGACAGGGATGATGAAATCCGGACTTTTGAGTGCCTGTCGAACAAGGGCTATGGACCTAAGCTTCTGGGACAGTTCCCCAAAGGCAGAATTGAAGAGTTCATTCAAGCCAGGGTATGTCTGCCTGAAATCAAACATTTCTTTCTTCTTGTGTTCAATCATGTTTCTTTACTTTGACTTGTGGATCCTAGCTTTGACTCGATTGTTATTCTAAAGTTTTACTTTGTTCTATTTTAATTACATCTGTCTTACCTTCTACATTTGTCAATATAAGAGCCCGTTTGGTAGCACGAAAATCGGCTGTTTTGGTTGATTCTGCTGAAATTTATGAAATTCTGGCTGAATTGGCTGTTTTGGCTGATTCTGCTGATTCAAGAAAAAAACATTTTAAAAATATATTTTATTAATAAATTATAGAAAAAATTACATGTAAAAATAGCTAAAATAGTCCTCTACAGTAACTTCAGCCAATACAGCCAGAAAAGTAACTCTAACCTTACTTTTTCTGCTTATTACACAATTCAGCATACAGAAGTAAAAGTTACGTGTTTGGTGAAAAAGCTGGCTGATAAGCCTGATAAGCCGAAAAAAGAGGTCTCCAAACGGGCTCTAAAACTTTCATTATTTATTTATTTCATAAATACTTTTTTTTCATTTTATAGAACACGTCAATAAATTAGAAAACATTTTATGTAACATGATTTTTTATTTATTACCTCGTATTACATTGGATATTGCCAACTTTGAGTTAACTTCAAGTAGTGAGTAAAAATTATGTAATTAAGATTTATTATAACAAAAAAGAAATAAGAAAAACACTTTATAGAAAAGTGACAACTTGTTTGGACAAATATGAAAGCAAAATTGACAGAAGATACAACAGGACGGAAGGAGTAATATAAAAATATGGCAATATGCGTGTATGATAGGTGAATAGAGTAGTACTAGTAGTTATCTGTTACAATCATTTAAACAATGAAGGTCAGGCATTAAATTTCTAAATGAAAATGATCTTGAATACGGAGTTATTCTTTTAGTGTTTTTTAATACTAAGTACAAACTTTTAATTATATAATTGTAAGCCATAATAATATAAATTCACATTGAAGGCAATAATGGTATAAATTCATGTACGACAGAGGTAGCATCTAAGTGCTAGAGACTTTCATTATCTTGGATTGTATGATTTTAGTCTCTTGTAATTATCAAGAAAATAACTCAAAAAGATAAAATTAACATGTTAAAAATGATAAATTTGTAAAAAGAAAAATTGAAAAGTACATGTTCTAAATACTGATCTACGAATAGTAGGAATTGTACATTTGTACTATGCTAAAATTGAATAGTTGTGCTTTAACTAGTCAAGGCTCGAGGCTCATTTTGCTATAATGCATTTCAGCTTAACAGTTCCTTAAAAGTTTTAAATCTACAAATTAACCTAATATCTAGCTTATTGTTATGCATTTCCAGACTCTATCCGCGGAAGATCTCCGGGACCCAAAAGTGTCTTCTCTAATTGCAGCAAAATTGAGGGAGTTTCATACTCTTGATATGCCAGGTTCAAAGAAAGTTGTTCTTTGGGACAGACTTAGGTATGAACATATATCTGAGTAAAATTTTCTTCTCAAAGTACTTTTTTTTAAAGAACTCAAAGTACTTCTAAATTGAAGTAATTTCTACTAATACTCATTTTGATGTATGTGTTCCCCAAACAGGAATTGGCTAGACAAGGCAAAGAGTTTGTGTTCCATGGAAGATGCAAAAGACTTCCGATTGGACAATTTAGAAGACGAAATCAATTTTCTGGAAAAAGAGATAACGGGCGAATTGGAAGAGGTCGGTTTCTGTCACAATGACTTACAATACGGGAACATTATGATCAAGGACAATGCTAGTTGCATTACATTAATCGTAAGTTTATAATATAATGTGATCTTTTTCTTAACCATCATTAAACTCTGTCCTTTAACTACTAAGGAACTTTCAAATAATCTGTTATAATAGGATTATGAGTATGCCAGTTATAACCCGATTGCTTATGACTTCGCCAACCACTTCTGTGAAATGGCAGCAAATTATCACAGAGACACTCCTCATGTCTTGGACTACACTATGTACCCTTGTAAGTAATTAACTGCTCTATGAATGACTTAAAATTCCATTACTTAATTATTACTCTCCTCGTCAGAAAAAAGAGTCATATTTTCATCCAACGAAGCTAATTTTCATGTATTGTACAAATAGTCTACCTAAAATAGTAACAACCGTTTTAAACTATGATGCGTTTAGTTAAAGAACGAAGAAACCAATAAATAAAGAAATATGGTTTCATGACTTTTAATAGTTTTACCTTAAGACCAAATTACAGTCCATTACAGCTAATGTGAGTTCAAATTTTGCAAACAGGCCGAGAAGAACGCCATAGATTCATACGGTCCTATCTGAGTTCTGCAGGTCAGTTATTTAGTTTGCAAAATTTTAGGTTTTATGACTTTATCTTCTGCACAGCAAGCTAAGGCTGGTCTAGTATGACTGATGGTATCGTTGCTAATTATTTTTACTATGTGCAGGAAACCAACCTATTGAAGAGGAAGTAGAGAAACTTGCAGATATTGCAGAGAAATACACACTGGCAAACCACTTATTCTGGGGATTATGGGGACTCATCTCGGTAAATTCTTCACTATACCGATGTTTGTCACGCTCTTATGTAGTTATGTTCCATCGATTAATTACAAGAAAGCCTTACCATTCTTTTTATTGTGTGTGGATTCTCAGGCCTATGTAAACAATATTGGCTTTGATTATATGGAATATGCAAGGCAAAGATTTGAGCAGTTCTGGATGAGAAAGCCGCAATTGATCAAATGAATGATTAGTGAGCAGAGGAGAAGAGAAGATTTATATTAACAATGACATTTCATCCCCTTTTTCATTCATACAGAAGATATATGTAGCATGCATGATGTATAGCAGTCATACAAGTAAATAAGCAATTGATGAATGTATGGAAATTGTTGGTGACTTTTGGATTTTACAATGAATGGAATGTTGAATGCTGATTTGGCTATCAATTAATATTGGTTGGTTTCCATTGCTGACTTAATGTATCTTATGATGTGAGTTGGTAGTATAATTACAACTAGATTTGTTTATCACAGTTGGTGGTAGCCTAAACATCTTTCAAATGTTTGAGACTTGAAAGCAAAAAATGGAAATATGGAATTGTCATATACTCTTTCTTTCTTATAGGCAGAAAAAGATTTAGAAGTCTTCATTGTAGTGTAAAAACAGGAAGGGAAGCTAAAACTTGATAGTATTATCGAAACAAACATATAGAAATAAAGAAAATTCTAATCATCTACTCCAAAAAGATCAAACCCAATATCCTCTTATGTATGTTGATGCTAATAGTTTCATAAATTTTTACCCTCATGAAAAAGAACTATTAAAAGACCTAGTTAATGATAATTAAGTATTCCTTCTCATGGACAGTAGTTGAAATTTGATCCTAAACATAACATTGAACCAAAGTACTTTATTTATAGATAATATTGATCATCATCATCATTACCCCAGTGCCGCAAAGGCTCCCACCTACGGTGGGGTAGGTGGGTCGGATGTACGCAGCCTTACCCTGTACTAAAGCACGGAGAGGCTGTTTCCGAATAACCCATAGTGAAAATCGCGTCGAAAATTACATGGACTGACTGCTACTTCATAACAAAGAAGCGCGCGGACAATTTAGTTACCCCATTGCAAATGAAAGAAATATTTATAGATAATAATGATAACTCATCTAATAATAATCATTCAAAGTCAGGTTATTAAAAGGCTTGACTGAGGTTCAATGTAGCTGGTGTATATCTATTGTGGCTAAAATTAATTGAGTACTGTTTGTTGTAACAAATATCAAGGGTAATAATGGAAATAACATCCAAGGTAAGGGATAAGCATTGAAGGAAAAGTTTGCTACTTTTCCTGGAGGATGCGCAGATACGGAGGAGAGATACGCTGATAAGGAAGCAGCATATGCAATTTTATGCAATCGTTTATGAATTCAAAAATGTCCGCTTATACGCTTCTTTACATGCCGAGTGCATTTTATCTGTCCATTAAATTATGATTTATTTTTTGTATGTTTCTTGAGCCGCAGGTATCAAATGTTGTATTTTCTATCTTAACTATGATTAAGATGTCGACACATATGCATTAAATATTGACTTTTGTAAACATACTCCTTGTATTTGCTAGAGGCTAGTTCTTGGGCGTATATAAGCATTTGGTATTGATATTTGTGTGTTATATACGTAGTACTTTTTATCTTGGATGAATAATGGAAATAACATCCAAATATTTGTGTGTTATAAGCATTAATTTAAAATTCTTACTTGTATTTTTCTCTTTATGAAATATAGCATATATGGAGTACTTTTTTGGATTTTTGTTCTTGAGTTTCTTATACTACTTCCGTTCAAAAAAAAACTTTGTCATTTCATAAAATTATACAAAGATTTTTAGTTATAATTAATTTCTTACATTTTATTGTTTAGCATTTAGTAGAACATGGTACTTTGTACATAATAAAGTGTTGTTTAATGTTATGCTATATGGAATAGCTTTATAAAACTTACGTAGTAATAATTTTTATTATATAAAAGTCTCATGTATTAATTGTATTTGATCATTTTAATAATGAACTAATCATATAAGTAGTTTTTTTGTTTCTTCTCTATTCAAAATTTGGTTAATGTAGGTATTTACTTTTTAAATAGTCTATTTAATTAAAATCTAATTAATTTTTTTACTATGTTTAGTGTGCATGCATTGGGCAGGCCCTCATGCCTAGGTCCGCCACCGGATATGAGTATAATAACATGATTACATGAAATGATAAGGGCTAGGCATGACAATGGATCGGGACAGGGCAAGACCCGCCCCATGATTTCACTCGATAGATCCGCCCCGCCCCGTGACCCGCACAAGTCCAAATTTGATGATCCATGACCCGCCGTAACCTAATTAGCTAGTATGTATTTCTATTTGTGTGAATTGTTACCACTTGAATCTACATAAAGTTTACCTTTAAATAATTATTAAAATAATATTATATTAAATCAAAGTCACAATACACTAAAAATTTCAATAATTAAGAAAAAAGTTTTTAGACTTGAATAGTTTATCTATTTATATTACTAATTGAGTATATAACTTAAAACGCTATATATAAAAAATACATTGATAATTTGTCGTTCATCTATGTATATGACCAAAGATTTTATGATTTACTTGTATTATATACACACTTATGTATGTAGAATTATATTTGTAGTATAATTTTAAAAAAATGTACACTTATATATTGAACGGGGCCGGGCGGCATGGGTCAATACTAATATCCGGACCCGCCCTATTTGCAAGAGGGACGGGTCGGACCCGCCCCATTTGTAAGACGGGACGGATCGGACCTGCCCCAAATGTCTCGAGCCAGGGCGAGTCATTGCAGGCCGGGTTTTTTTACATGCCTAACAAAGGCCACTTATTTTTTTCAAAAAAAGAAAAAGAAATAAGTCATTCATTTTGGAAAAACTCAAAAAGAAAAGTACACAACCAAAATGGAATAGGAGTACTAGTATTCATTACGGCTATTTTGGCAAGTGAAAAAACCGTACAAATCAACCCCATAAATGGTACACCTTTCTTTTAATGACAATTTTACCCTACCAAAATGGAATAGGAGCACTAGGATTCATAACGGCTATTTTGGCAAGTGAAAAAACCGTACAAAGCAACCCCATAATTCCATAAATGGTACACCTTTCTTTTAATGACAATTTTACCCTTTATGAATTACACATTTCCTCATTTTGATTTTACAAGAAGGTATCCTATGTGAGAAAGTGTACATTAGTACATTACCATTGGGCACCAATGTAGTAAATGCATATATACTAGAGACTAAATAAAACCCAATTCATAATAAAACCCTGAATTAAATGTGTGCAACTGCTGAACTGCGCATGCGGTATAATAAATGTGCATAAGCACCAAATTACCTTCTTATCAAGTTCAATGGCTTTAATGAAGCTGGATGTAATGGATAGAAGATATCAACAAATTGAACAAAAGATATCAAGTTTTAATAGTTCGAAGTGTATGCTAATATACAAACTCATCGAGATATGAAAAACGAAGTAAACCTTAGCTTCCAAGTTCCAAATATGAAAAACTTTAAGGGAAAATGGAAACTAATAATCCAACCTTTTAGCGGTCTTCTTTCAATAATCCCACCTTTTGATTATTCATGAATAATCCAACCTTTTCACCTCATCTTCATTCATTGGTCTCTGGTCGGTTAATGACCTACTATTCCAAGTTATTTTCTTATCTCAGCAAAATATTATCTTTGTGAAAGATGAAATTTATGGTATAATGATTTGCAAAGATAAGAAAATAGTTTGGAATAGCAGATCATCAACCGGTCAGGGACCAGTGAATGAAGATGAGGTGCAAAGGTTGGATTATTCATGAATAATCAAAAGGTTGGATTATTATAAGAAGACCGCTAAAAGGTTGGATTATTATTTTTCATTTTCCCAAACTTTAATTGATTATGTTCAAATACCGATAGTATTAGATTCGAACATTCATATTTGAATACATCATTACTTATTTTTCATAATTATATTATATATTATACATTATACATAGTATATAATTCCATGTTTCCTCATTTTGATTTTACAAAATAGTCTCATATGTGAAGAAGTGTACATTACTATTGTGCACCATTTAGTTAATTGACTATCATTTAACAAGATTAGTGATTAGAATTTATTCCAACTTCTCACAATAAGGAGTGTTCTCGTTAGAACCACTCTCTTGATTGTACATTACCATTGGGCACCACATAGTTAATTGCTGATCATTTAACAAAATCAGTAATTAGGATTTATTTTCACTTCTCACAATAAGGAATATTCTCATTGGAATCACTACAATGTAAATGCATATATATATATATACTAGAGATTAAATAAAACTCAATGCATAATAAAACCCAATGCATAATAAAACCCTGAATTAAATACTCCTAGCAAAAGTAAAAGATTCAATGACTTCAATCAGCAACAGATTAGGAATCTGCTTGTGCAGAAAGAGCTGGAGGGCATGTGTGGTGCACTCTCAACAACCACATTGACGGAGGAGGAGATCTAGAGTGGACATGTGCGAGATGTTATAGCCAGCAAGAGTGAGGCTGTTGTCAAGTTTCCTGCCGCCGAACAGGAGCACCTGGTCTTTAACAGGGATACCTTCCAAGTCCTCAATCATATGCTTCGAATCCTCAATGGTGTCTGAAGATTCAATCTCCAGGTTAATTATCCTCCCTGACATGGTTCTTACATATATATCCATCAATGCACCTGTGGGGGTATTCAGCTGCTGCTGATTCCTATTAACTTGGCAGAGGTCGTCCACGGGTTCATCGTTTCTCTTTGGAGCAGCAACCACGTACACATGAACAGGCTGGGAAAGTGAAGCGACATCCAAAAACCACTTCAGTGATTGATCATCCGTTAGAGGGATAGAAACAAACAGGACTTTCCCTCCAGGAAGGGTGGTCGGGTACTTTCCAAACAAGTCAAACATTGTGTCCCCGTCATCACCGTTCATTGCAGTGTGCACTTTCCCCACCAGTTCTTCATACCTGTTGCCCCTTCCACTCAAGAAACACATCGTTTTTGGTGGTTCAGAGTAATCAACAGAGCCGAGATATCCATTCTTTATTACTTGACCTCCCCAAAATAACAATGCAGCAACTTGATCTCCACTACCTTCATTTACAGATACCAGCTTTTAGTATGGCAATACCACTTATTTAAACGTGTATACAACAACAACAACAACAGAAACTGTCATAACCCAACAAATTTCATACCTGCCATTTCCTCTTCAAGTACTACTTCTGTATGTTTAAACAGAGAAACAATGCAACTTCCCTGAAAAAGGTTTAGCACAAAAAACATCAAAGTTAAGATCAAGAGAATTTAATTTAACCTGCCCAAAAGGATTGCCTCCATATAAGTACACATCTTAGGAATCGTAGTAAAATATATAGTAAAATTAAAAATTGATTTACTGTACAAGTTTATCACTGTTCAATTCCTTCTCCAACGGAAGCTACTAAGCTAGTTATACACCTATACAGAAATTGAACTTATAACACTTAAAATTTTTATAAACACAAATAACCTAGGTATATAAGAAGCAGAGGAACGCTCCGGAATCGGCCAGACAGATGCTATTGAGATCAATCCGATGAAACGTTTTTAATATATTTCATCAACATTAGGAATCATAATAATTTTACATAAAACGAACAGTCGAACACTAAATTGATATGAAACTGAGAAAGAATTCAACACCATAGAGGCTAATAATAGCAATCGTGGAAGTACCTCAGCAGAGATTTTCGGCGGGGCGTGGGTTTGGAAAACTGAAACCGAGTGTGACGGTTTTGCAAGAGGCGAGAGAACCCACGACCCTTTTTAAAGGAAACCAAAAACGGTTTTCAAGATCCTAAATTAGATAGGCCTACTGGTAGGCCTGTCAATGGGCCGGGTCTAGACCCGGACCCGACCCGGACCCGGTTGTTTTTAACGGGTATGGGTCCTTATTTTATTCCGTTTACCCGGACCCGAACCCGGACCCGTTAGTACTTTTAATAAACGGGTCGGGTATGGTACTTATGATTCCGACCCGTTAAGGACCCGGACCCGTTTAAAATTTCTTATTAGTATATATACACACACTAATACATAAAGAGATTAGTTATAATACTTCAAATAAAAATACAAACTAATATATATAAAGTGATTAGTTTTAATTCTTTGATTAAAAAAGAAACGAATTAATACATACCTAATGTATAAGTGATAATATAATAGTACGTAGTATATAATATGCTTTTATTCCAAAAGAATTTTTTGTGACCTAATTTCTAGTCTAATATACGAGTTTTCTGTGGGAGAGAGAGAGACACAAAGTGCGGAATTGTATGCATCTACAAGAACCGATATTTTATTGAATAAAAGTACTAATTTTCTATGATAAACCTTGATTCTTTTTTTTTGAAAAGTGAAGATATGTTTTGCTTTTAAATTTGTGCACTTTGATTTACATTTCATATACATGTTTTGCTATTTTTAAAAAATATATAATGTTCTGTCAAAAAAAAGTTATATAATGTTGTGCATATGATACTTGGCGGGTCTACCCGACCCGGTTCCGAGACCCGTTGGGTCCGGGTCCGGGTCCAAATTTTTAGACCCGCCGGGTAAACGGGTCGGGTCCGGGTCCTTTATTTACTTAGCGGGTCCGGGTCTGGAACACTACGTTCCGACCCGGACCCGACCCATTGACAGGTCTACCTACTGGCCTAGGATAATTTTACTTATTTTGATCCTTATAAAACATACTCCGTACTACTCCGTATGTACGTAACACATTAAGAGTCCATTTGGTAGCACGAAAATCGGCTGAATTGACCGATTCTGATGAAATTTATGAAGTTCTGACTGAAGTGACTGCTTTGGCTAATTCTGCTGTTTTATGAAAAAATTATTTTTAAAATATATTTTATTAATAAAATAAAGAAAAAATTATATGTAGAAATAACTAAAATGGTCATCTACAGTAATTTCAGCCAATACAGGCAGAAAGTAACTTCAACCTTACTTTTTCTGTTTAATGCATAATTCAACGCGTGAAAGCAAAAGTTATGTGTTTGGTGAAAAGTTGGTTGATAAATCTGATAAACCGAAAAACGGTGTTGCTAAATGGCCTCTAAAGATGTTTTTAATTGAATTGAAATTTTCTGCTCTACAAGTTTAATGTCCCTTTGTATTTTTTAATGGTACAAGTTTAATTCGTTTTGGTCTATTTTCAATTTATTAACCTTATCCCTCAATTTTTTTTATCAAATATGTATTTTTTGATTTATGATGTTTTTATTTAAATTGTCATCAATTTCATACTAGAACATATTAGACCAAAACAAATTAAACTTGTACAATTAAAAAATACACGGGGACCAAACATCTACCAGACCAGACCAGACCACACTAGAGCAAAAAATTTCAGTCCAAGTAAAAACATCTTTAATGTGTTATGTTTTGTAATGATCAAATAAGTAAGATTATAGTTACATTATATCTGAAATGACTGAAGTTATCGCAAAGATCATTTGAACTATTTCTTCATATAAAATTTGAAATTTCAATATAATTTTTGCATTTTTAAGAACATTAAGTCAACTCAACTTTTTAAATTTGCAATTCATCAATTTCAACTGATTTAGTCGATTCAATCTATTTCCCTTTCATAAAGGGCTCATAGTCTCCAACTCATTTCATGAAAGTTGATCAATTTTGACTTACAAATAAAATACTCCGTAATAAAGTAAAATTTGAAAGTTAAGATTTGTGATATATTAAATAAAAATAACAACATTTCTTAAAACAATTAAAGATTGAAATATTGGAATTGACTATTTATGATACTATGCAATTTGTGGAACCAGATACTTAAACAATATACCTATGATTAGCCGCGTCAATGATATCTTTTCTTTTAGTTGGAAGAACAACTAGTATTTCATCATCCTGCGTTGCATGAGATGTAAGTGCAAATATTATAAATATTAACCTATGCACATATTTATAGATCATACTCCCTCCGTCCCATTTTGGTTGTCTGCTTTCCTTTTTGGATTGTCTCAAAATGAATTTCTTGTTTCCTTTTTTGGATGAAATATGTGATTCTTATCAATTCACTTTATTCTACTCAAATGTCAACCACAACTTTTACTTTTCAACCACTTTATTAATAATCGTGCCAAATTGAAAGTGGACAACCATTATGGGACGGAGGTAGTATTATTTTTTATGACGTGAATTAGTAACCATTAAATAATATATAAATAATACAGAGTAAGAAGAAATATTAAAAATTTAATAAGCACACACTTTACAAATTATTGAAAAGTTTCCTTGTAGGCAACATTTTTGTAGTTTTTTGTAATTTCCCTCGTCGTTAGATATCACGAATTTCAAATCAGACGAACTTATCACCCTCGAAACTACAACATGGAGCTATCACTAAAAGTAGGGTACACGCAAGTCGAATGATCTATATTCTTCATGACTCAAAGTTTCATACGGAGTACTTCGTATATTACAATGATGTTTCCCATATCTTTGTGTTTGACTTTGTTGGGTTAAGGGCCCAAGCCGAGGTCCGGCCCACTAACCCATTTTGCCAGACGACCGTCCAGCTAGAAACTAGGCCAGCCCACAGGCCCATGTACTTTAAGCATGGACGAACGTCTGGTGTTGGAGGACTCAGGCCCAGCGGCTCATCCCGACGAACGTCTAAGCAGGGACAAGGAGCGGAGCCACGGGCCATCAGGGGTGACGACGAACGTCTCCTGAGCAAGCCCATAGTCATCGGAGGAGACCCAGCCCACATGGTGAGAATCCATCAAGGCCAGGAGACGAACAGCCAATATCCCTCAAGGGTCACTTGGAGGAATCCAACTCACTTCCCGGGTGGACGAACGTCCCCACTATTCCGGCGGGAAACCTAGATTCTGGCGGGAAGTGCATTTAATGCTAAAGATTTGGTAGTTGGGACACCAGCGGTCCACAGGCTGCCACGTCAGTACAGCCACCTGCCCATTGGCGGGTATAAATAGAAGCATTTATTTCATTGTAAAGGGTTGGCAACTTTCTATTCTTAGCATACTAGCTTCAGCATTCTTACTTGCAGCATTTCTAAGTGCCTTGTAAGACGAACGGCCGACGTGCCTTGTTTAGCGAGTAGATTGTACTTAGGGGAGTTATTACGGAGTTAATAATACCTATTTACATTGCCTGCTACCACTGTTGTCTCCTGATTCATCTAATAGTTGTTGGGCTAGACATTCATACACTCACTCCACTCGAAACCTTTGGGCTTACGTGTTGGGTCCACGGGTTGAAGGAATAAACCTCAACACTGGCGCCGTCTGTGGGAAAAGTGGGGTAACAAAGTCGGGGACCCGTGAGGGTAGACCTGTTCGTCCCTGCGAGTCCTTGGGTACCGAACGTCCTCTTCGAAGCAAGAGACGTCGGTAAGGCTAAAAGGACCACGGACGAACGAAAAGGGGGGAATCTCGATGTAGATAAACCCGTTCATCCTAGCGATGTCGGCGGACACCGAACGTCTCCTCGAAGTAGGGACGCCGGTGGGACCAGGGACCAAGGACGAACGAAGACTAAAAGACTCCAAAAAAAAAAAAAAAAAAAAAAAAAAAAAAAGCCAGAAGAGCAAGGAGCAAAGAATGATTCTTTTATTCTTCGGTACTATTGGCCGGGAGATTACAAGACAATGAAAATAATGGAAAAAGTTGTACAAGTACAAGGTCATGAACGGAGAATCACTTTTGATCAACGTCCGGAGCTGGAACCTTAGCAAGAGCCTGCTTGCATTCTTCACTAGCTCTGGCTTCCGCCTGCTCCTTCAGCAGCTCGAGGGCCCCTGCATGAGCGTCTGCCATCAAGACGTCAAAACCAGCCGCCTCCGGATCGAAAGGAGCCCCGAAATGACGCTCGAACGTGGGGAGATTCTCCGCTACTAGCCCAACCATACCTTTGCGGTAGGTGTCATCGGCGAGATCGTCAAGAAAACGACGCCCGGTGGGGGTGGCCTGAAGCAATTTGACTCCATCCTGATAGGCATCCGGGCAGGTGGCTAGGAACTCGCCAACGAGCCGCGGGAGGAACTTCATGGCCATAGTATGGATGGCGCCAGTATAAGCCTTGGATTTCTGAAAGGCAATGGAACCAGACTCTTTGATTTTGGCAACATCGGCCTCATAAATAGGGACATGATTGTCCATGCCCGTCTGGCGAAGCTCCACCTTGGCTTTCTCTACGGCCCACATCCGGCTGCGAAGATCTACAAGCTCGGCCTCCTGCTTCTTAAGGAGCTCCTTCTGAGAGGCATTCTCCTGAACGAGCTTATCATAGGCATCGGCTTTCTCTTGAAGAGTGCCAGCCCTGCCTTTCGCGTTCCTCAGAAGGGCATCACACTCAGCTCGCACTCTGGCCATCTCCCTGCCCTGATGCTCAAAGGCCATCCGAGCCCTGTGGAAGTAGAGCCCGGCCTTGTCCAAAGTGCTCTGACCACACTCCAGAAGGTCTTCGGGTGCCTCCTGAGCAGCAAAATCCTGGGGGACCTTGAGATTCAGGCCGCACCATATAGAGGAGGCTGTTTGACCAAAGAGCATCATTGACTCCTTGCGCGGGCCAACCCCGGAAAATTCGATCAAACCAAGGGAGGACCCATTGGTCTCCGGGGGCGAAGGAGGACGAGCATCGTCAGAATCCTTGGCAGTATGGGCATCATCATCCCGAAGACGACGGACCTCAGAAGTTCGGGGGGGAGAAGGACGGGACTTGATCCGAGGGACAGGTTTCCGCTTGAGGGGACTCCCGGGTTCCCCATCAGAATCATCGGCCACTATAATAGCCTTCGAGGCAGTACCCTCGACGCGCGGTTTCTTGGAAGCACCAGCTCCCAAATCATCCTCAGTCCGGGCCCTGGTCACCCGAGTCTCAACCTTGGGGACGAGCGGCTTCCCGGGCTTGTCATGCCCTCTGTGTCCACGATCGGCGGCAGACGGAGCGGCATTGACTCGGCGCATGGTGGACGTGGAGGGAAAAACTCCTGCATAAAGGGAATCAAGACGTTCAGAACCATAACAGCGAAGAGAGGTTAAAACAATGCAAGTACAAACGGACGCACCTAATCCAGCCTGAGCTTTAAGGGGCTCGGCCACCAGCAACCGGAGGTTCTGGATGCCAAGTCCGGCTATGCGCTTGGCATGCCCAAGCTCCTCGTGTAACACCGCCCCCAAGTATTTGTACTTTATCAATTCATGTACTGAACCTTGATAAATGAATAAACTCATCTTTACGCGATTGTAAATTTTTATCATTCTTTTACGTGGATAGTAAAATCCACGTGGGGCCCACACCAGAGGTGGGGGCCGCCCGATATTATTGGGACCGCATATTATATTCATCTGGGTCTAGATAATATGTATATGATGGTGGATGTCCAAGTTGGGCCATATAAACCATGCGTGTTGGCCAGTTGTGCATATAAAGCCCATTTATCGGTACCGAAGGAATATCAGATAAAAAGCCATAATAAATTATGGAGACCACCAAATTAAAGATGAGGAATATACATTCATTCTTATAGCCAATAATAATTGGAAGGATGAGATATATTTCATTTTACCCGATAAAATGAAATATAGTTAAAACAGTCCGGAAAATACAACTTTCGGGATCGAGTGTACACTCGGGGACACAAAGGGATGACCTCCCACACATGTGGGGGCCACCCCACGAAATCATTTGAGACAAATGAGAGAGGGGGTCGGCTGGTGTGATGGAAGGAGGATGGAAGGGGAGGTTGAGACAAGAGTTGACTCCAAGGGACCCCTCACCTCTTACCATCATAGGAGGAGCCAAAAACACCCCAATCACTCCCTATACCCATAGGCTCGACCAAGACACTCATAGAGGAGAGAAAAGATCTGGAAATACTCCATTCTCATCCACCATACATGCACCAAGAGCAAGGGAGGAAGAAGGAAGGAAAAGAGAAGAGAAAAGAGGAGTTTAGGTGCGAAAACTTGTGATTAATAAGGTATTTCAAGAACTTTCACGGGGTTGAAAGGGGCGCCGGAGTTGTCGCCGGAGTTGGTTGAAGTTCACCGGAGTTTCACCGGAGCTCAATAAGGGAGGCTAGAACTTCATAAGCTTCTTTAAGGTGAGAAGACGGCTATATGCTTTATAACTTTTGATTGAGGCATGAGATTACCTAAAGTAATCAAGTATATGTCTTATGGAATGATTAAAGTAAATCAAGTATTGGCTTATGCCACGGTTATATATAAAACATAGTTGAAAAGCATGTTTTGTATGTTTGGTGATTAAAAATGTGATAACTTATTATGTACAATTCTCCAGGGATCCAAAATGGTATTTTTGGATCAAGGACGTCAAGGAGTACATGCGTATAAAATTTCGCGTTAATCGGACTCCGTTTGGGCGGTCAAACGGGCGTTGACCGCCGAGGCAAAGGTGATACCCGACCGGGTATGGGTACATACCCGACCGGGTATTGACTAAAAATGGCTCCAGAAGCCACTGTCCTACTAGACCCGACCGGGTAAGGGTATGGACCCGACCGGGTCTAAAGTAAAATCAGTTCCAGGGGCTTCTGCCCCGACCTACCCGACCGGGTAAGGTTGGATACCCGACCGGGTATTGGACTATGCCCAAAACAGGCAGTTTTGAGCAGGTTAACGTGGGTCGTTCAAGTGGGACCCACCCACGTTGGTCACTAGGGATTATTACATGACTATAGGACTAGGTATTGTCCATAGTTAAGTGAATGAAAAGTTAGCCATATCCAGGTTAGGGTTTGGTTAGAATTAAGGTTGAGGTTGAGCATCCTCAGGACGGTAAATGATCCCAAAACTCGGTGAGGTTGAGTATCCTCAGGACGGTAAACAATCCTAAAACTCGGTGAGGTTGAGTATCCTCAGGACGGTAAACAATCCTAAAACTCGGTGAGGTTGAGTATCCTCAGGACGGTAAACAATCCTAAAACTCGGTGAGGTTGAGTATCCTCAGGACGGTAAACAATCCTAAAACTCGGTGAGGTTGAGTATCCTCAGGACGGTAAACAATCCTAAAACTCGGTTGAGGTTGAGTATCCTCGGGACGGTAAATGATCCCAAAACTCGGTTGGGGTTGAGTATCCCCGGGACGGTAAACCCTCCTGAAACTCGGTAGGATATTATGAAGGTAGAATGTAGCTCTCAAGCTAGGCATTCAGGAATGGAAAGGGGATAGGTTGGGAAAGTACCTTATCTCTAAAAGACTCTTTGTGATAAAACGACCTACGGGTCAAGTATTTTACAAGTATATACATTATGTATTATCTTGGGAATGGGGGTAACAATGGTTACACCTATAAGCATATGTATCACCCTATTTTTGGGTCTCGTGTCTGAAACATTAGTTATTCCTCATATAGCCTGCTTGTCACTAGTACTTCTATGGAGTACTGACCCCTTCGGGGGCCCTCACATTTTTCAGGTTGAGGCTAGAGTCCTACTACCTGCACCTTCGCCAAGGGTGATTGATCAAAGAGGAAGACGTGGTTCGTGCTTCCATTCTTATTCAAAGTTTATAAACTGCTCATGGATGTTTTTAACAATGTTTTCCATTAAAACATTTGAGGGGCCTGCGTGTCCGTATTTGCCACGTGTGGCTAAGTATCAAACATATCTTATTTTCCGCATTCGTTGACTAATATATATTGATGTTGATTGTATGGGTTTACTAATCGGTTTGGCAATAGAACTCAACGGACGCCTAGTATGATTCAATAAGAATGAACTACGTTGTTCTTATTGGGTTGTACGGCGGTTGTCTACGTGGCACGGATGCGGTCCGGGGCGTGACAATTAAGTGGTATCAGAGCCATCGATTTCTAAACTATATGATTGACCTCTCAATATAGTATCATCAAAAAGTTTTGAACAAAACCATGAGCAAAAGTTTTTGTACTTAAGGAACCGTTGGAAACCAAGTTATTGACCTCTTATTGTTAAGATGGTACCCTTAACAGTTTGTTGGCCATAATGTTGGACCAAGTGGTGTCTTTTGTACTATTCCGTCAATTGACATTGATACGAGTCTAACGACTCATTCCAAATTTCTTTCAGAAATGGAGGGTAGACACATGGCTACGAGGAACAACCCGAGAGGGCAAACTCAGGCGACGTCCGTAGGGGCCAGCCAGGTTGCATCTCGGGGTGCGAGAGGCGGTAGGAGAGGCCGTGGAGGCCGTGGAGGCCGTGGAAGCCGTGGAGGTCATCAGGCTCAAACCGTGAGCGATGGCCATGTTAGCTCGGTGCATGGGACTCACACCGAGGATTATGACTCAACATATGTTCCCGAGACGGAACATGAGGAGACCCCATATGATGGGGGTGATACGTACACTGATGATGACAATGATGAGAGTGATGCCAAATTCGCCCAGATGGGTGAATTGTTTGAGTGGTACCAAAAGGAAAAGCTGAGGAGAGATCTTAGGCGCCAAGCTAGGCGTGCCTCTCAGGGAGGTTCGGGTCAGGGAAGCCGGGGGGCTTCAGTGGCCATTCCTGTGGCGACACAGGGGGTACAGGGGGGAGGTTTCTGTGTAAGAATCTCCAAATACCTCAAGGAGGCGAGGGCCTTGGGGTGTAAGTCATTTGATGGCAAGGGTGATATATCGGTGGCTGCCGACTGGATCAAGAAATTGAATGAGGCTGCTAGGGATATGCAGATCGGGCTTGACATAAAGCTAACGATTGCTACCAGGCTACTAGAGGGGGTAGCTGCTGTATGGTGGGAAGGCGTGGAAGGAAAGTTCCACGGTGAGACCACCTGGGAGAAATTTGAAGTAGAATTCTATAATCAGTACTACTCAGAGTTCGAAAAGAACCAGAAGAGGAAGGAGTACATGACCCTAGTACAGGAGGAGGATTGCTCGGTGAGGCAACTGGAACAAAGGTTCCGGGACTTGGCACGGTACATACCCGAGTACGCCATGGATGAGAACCGTATGGCTAATCACTTCTGGGACACCCTACACTTGGATATCCGTGATCGGGCTACCTACAATCATCACATGACCTTTAGTGAGATTGTGGATCAGGGGCTACTTGGGGAAGCCAAGTGGAATGAAAGGAAGAAGAGAGACGCCGAGGAGGCGAAGAAGAGAAGATGGGGGAATTCTGGACCCCAAGACCATTCTCGGAAACATCACGCCGGGAATGGAAGATCATTCAGGGCGCCGGAACCACCGGCAAAGAAGAGTAAGGGCCCAGGAGGGCAAGGGCATAGCTCGGGGAGCGTGAGGCCACCAAGGTGTCCAAACTGTAACAGGAATCACTCCGGGAAGTGCAATGAACCACCCCGGTGCTACAAGTGTGGTAGCACAAGCCACCTCAAACCCTCTTGCCCAATGTTGAGTGGAGGTGGGCCATCGGGAGCTGTGGAGGCACCTACGTCTGGAAGGGGTCATGCAGGACCATCTCAGGGCGGCACGGGAAGGGGCGGACCTACGGCAAGCAATGCCGCGTCCGTTAACCAAGGTAGGACCCAGGCACGAGTGTATGCAATGACCGAGGCGGATGCGCGAGCAAACCCGGACTCCGTTGCAGGTAATATACTAAAATTTTATATGTTTCTAGGCTTATACTAAAGATATAAGTCCTAAGGGTCAATTGCAAACTGACTTAGGGTCGAATCGGGGGGAATTCAACGAAACCAGGCTGATACCCGACCGGGTAAGGCAGGTCACCCGACCGGGTATACTGAGATTTTGGCCTGGTAAACCCACTGGAACGATTACCCGACCGGGTATCGAAGGTTACCCGACCGGGCAGAATGAAAATTTTTACCCGCGAGCTTCTGGAACGGATACCCGACCGGGTACAACAGGTTACCCGACCGGGTATACCAAATTTCCATACCCGCTGGCTTCTGGATTGGATACCCGACCGGGTACAAAGGTGTACCCGACCGGGTATTGCTGTATATTGTAAATTACGGACTTTTTCGGGGCCTACAGTTCAATTTAGGTAGGCAAGGTACCTTACATGACTTATAATTGTAGGAACGTTAAAGATTAATGGAAGGGATGCGAGGATCCTTATCGATACGGGAGCACAACGTTCATTCGTTAGTGAGGTGTTTGCCGTGGGGTTAGGCACACCTTTAATACCAATGATGCAAACCCTTTTGGTATCTACGCCTCTAGGGGATGACGTTGAACGAAATGACTACTATCCTTCGTGTGATGTGGAGATAGGGGAGCACTGTCTAAAGGGGGACTTTGTACCGTTAGCCATGCTTGAATTTGATGCCATACTTGGCATGGATTGGCTTGAAAAGCACCATGCAAAGGTAGATTGCTACACCAAAGTGTTAGAACTCAAGGATGGTGAGGGAAATACTCTATGTTTCGAGGGGGATAGAGAAAGATTCAATCCTTGCATCATATCGGCCATACGAGCAAGGCGTATGATGAGGAAGGGATGTCTAGCTTACTTAGCCTATGTCATAGGCAAGGAAGGCAAGGGGAAGAGCCTCACAGAAGTGAGGATGGTGAACGAGTATCCGGAGGTGTTCCCTGAAGAGCTACCAGGACTCCCACCCGACCGGGAGATCGAGTTTGAGATTGAGGTTGAACCAGGCACCAAACCCATCTCAATTCCTCCGTATCGAATGGCACCGGCTGAACTTCAAGAGTTGAAAGTTCAATTGGAAGAGCTACTAGATAACGGATTCATTAGACCGAGTCATTCACCATGGGGAGCACCCGTACTCTTTGTAAAGAAGAAGGATGGTACTATGAGAATGTGTATCGACTACCGACAATTGAACAAGGTCACGATAAAGAACAAATATCCTTTGCCAAGGATTGACGACTTGTTTGATCAATTACGGGGGGCAACCGTATTCTCCAAGATCGACTTGAGGTCGGGCTACCATCAACTAAAGATCAAGGAAAGTGACATACCCAAAAGTGCATTCCGTACAAGGTATGGTCACTATGAGTTCCTAGTGATGTCGTTTGGGCTTACAAATGCCCCCGCGGCATTCATGGACCTCATGAACCGAGTATTTCATCAATACTTGGACCAATTTGTCATAGTGTTCATTGATGACATCTTGATATACTCCAAGAACGAAGAAGAACACGAGAAACATCTAAGGCTCGTACTTGAAACACTGCGGGAGAAACAACTCTTTGCCAAATTCTCTAAATGTGAATTTTGGCTTGAGGAGATCGGTTTTCTTGGGCATGTGGTATCGGGCTCGGGCATTTCAGTTGATAACTCGAAGATTGAAGCAGTCACTAATTGGGAGAGGCCCAAGAATGTGAAGGAAATAAGGAGTTTCCTCGGTTTGGCGGGGTACTACCGCAAATTCGTGGAGAAATTCTCAGTAATAGCATCTCCACTCACGAAGCTCACTAAAAAGGGAGCTAAGTTTGTGTGGGATGACAAGTGTGAGAAGGGGTTTCTTGAGCTAAAGAAACGATTGACTGAAGCACCAGTACTTGCCCTACCCGTGCAAGGGTTGGGGTATGACATCTATAGCGATGCTAGCATCCAGGGGCTTGGGTGCGTACTGATGCAATCGGGGAAGGTAATTGCTTATGCTTCTCGGCAACTGAGGAAGCATGAAGTGAATTACCCCACTCATGACCTTGAGCTAGGGGCTGTGGTGTTTGCTTTGAAGATTTGGAGGCATTACCTCTACGGTGAGGTGTGTCACATCTATACTGATCACAAGAGTTTGAAGTACGTGTTCACTCAGAAAGAGTTGAACATGAGGCAAAGAAGATGGATGGAGTTAATCAAGGATTACAACTTGATTATAGATTACCATCCAGGTAAGGCTAACGTGGTTGCTGATGCTCTCAGTAGGAAAAGTTCATCAGGGGTTTTACTCACATGCTTACAAGCATTGAGGGCACACGTGGAAGTATCCACGAATGGGGCTCTATTGGCCAGATTTGAGGTGAGACCCACCCTATTAGACGAAATCAGAACGCGTCAAGGCAATGACGAGGAAATTCAGAAAATCCGAGAACGGATGCTGGTGGGACCCGTCGAGGGTTTCCGTGAGAGAGGAGATGGACTCCTACTATTCAAGGAGCGAGTGTGTGTGCCGTCAGATGAGGAGCTCCGAAAATCTATTCTTGAGGAGGCTCACTCATCTGCGTATGCCATGCACCCAGGTGGAACAAAGATGTACCAGGACTTGAAAGAAAGTTACTGGTGGTCGGGGATGAAGAGAGAGATTGCTGAATATGTGAGTCGTTGCCTTACCTGTCAGCAGGTTAAGGCAGAGCACCAGCACCCGGCAGGGTTATTACAGCCACTTACCATCCCAGAATGGAAGTGGGAGCATGTTACTATGGACTTCGTGGTAGGTTTGCCACGGACGGTTAGGAACTTTGATGCGGTATGGGTGGTGGTTGATAGGTTGACCAAGAGTGCCCATTTTCTACCTATCAACACTACTTATACGCTTGAGCGACTGGCCAAGTTGTATACTGATGAGATCGTGAGACTGCATGGGGTTCCGGTCACTATAGTGTCGGATAGAGACCCACGGTTCACATCACGGTTTTGGCCTAAATTCCAGGAATCCATGGGGACGAAGCTGAGGTTCAGCACGGCTTTCCATCCTCAAACGGATGGGCAATCTGAACGGGTGATTCAGATTTTGGAGGACATGTTGAGGGCATGCGCCTTAGAGTTCCAAGGAAGTTGGGACAACCAGTTGGCATTGGTGGAATTCGCCTATAACAACAGTTATCAGGCAAGTATAGGCATGCCTCCATACGAGGCATTGTATGGGAGGAAATGTCGGACACCTTTGTGTTGGGATGAGGTTGGCGAGGCCAAGCTTGAGGGTACTGAACTAGTTGAGATCACCAAGGAGAAGGTGAAAGTTATTCAGGATAGACTCAAGGCTGCCCAAGATCGGCAGAAGAGCTATGCAGATAAACGACGAAGAACGTTAGAGTTCGAGGTCGGCGATGAGGTATTTTTGAGGGTGTCACCTTGGAAAGGGATCATCAGGTTCCTCAGTCGGGGTAAGCTTAACCCACGCTACATAGGCCCATTCAAAATCATTGAAAGGATTGGGGTTGTAGCGTACCGGCTTCAGTTAACTCCAGAATTAGAAAAGATTCATAACGTATTTCATGTTTCTATGCTCAAGAAGTATGTACGGGACCCGTCACATATTCTTGAGAAACCACCGGTAGAAATCCGGGAAGACCTTCACTATGCGGTGCAGCCGGTAAAGATCACGGACCGACAGGTAAAGAAGCTAAGGAGTAAAGAGGTACCGATGGTGAAGGTACTTTGGAAGAGTGATCGTGTCGAGGAGCAAACTTGGGAAGTGGAGACCCTGATGAGGGAACAGTATCCATTTCTGTTTGACTAGACACGTGGATTTC